AATAAGAAATTAAAATAATAAAGTTGAAAATATATCTTAGCCTTGAAAAACACCCCTAAAATGTTTACTAGGAGCAATAGTCGGTATTCTCACTTTTTTCCATTTTAATCCTGAGATTTCCAAATGCCTTATTTTCTTGAACTTCCTTTTCTTGCCCTTAACATTATGCTGAATACTTAATGTGTTGTGGGCTGCCCTAAAGGAGAGGGCACCTGGGGCAGGGATAACAAATGGCTTGAAAAAAAAAAGAAAGAAAAAGAAAGCTCCTTCATCTCCTTTTTGTTTGAAAAGATTTGGTCTGAAATTTTCTCTGTTTGCCCATAGCGAAGGAATGACTCTCTCTCAGCCCTAATGGAACTGCTGAGTTCCCTGTTCAGCCTCAAGCATTCTAAACAATGACTAGAGCATCCACAGATTGTGTCACATTTAGGAAGGGATTAAGCACGCCTTTTATCCTTCTTTAAATGTGATAATTTCCAAATTCAAACCAATATTTCCTTCTCTGTCTGCTAAGACTGGGAAGATAGTGGGAATCTATGCAATGAGATGCACATTTAGCTAAACAGGAGTTGACTTGTTTTCTTTTGTTTCTCTTGCAATCCCGGATGGAACCCCGGATGTTGCTCCTGCTTGGTAGGCACTCTATCACTAAGCTGTATTCCCAGCCTGGGGGTTAACTTTCTTCATAAGGAACTGAGAAATGTGTTACTGAGTCATTCCTTTTTTCATAAGATGTTCAAAGCTATTTCATAGGATTCCCCCAAACGTGTGCATTGGTTAAAAAACAGGCCCCACTAAACCTGTTTTCAAGTCCTTTGGATTTTCTTCCCTAGTATTTATCCTAAATGTGGACTCTGCTCCAGCTGATGTCACCTCTGGGCTGGGAACAATCCTAGAGGTTAGCAGGCATTACAGCTCAAGCTCACTGACTTGAGTCCACAATTTGGGAAAAGTCCACTGATAGGAATAGACTCTAAGTTGCAGGAATGTCCAGCCTTACTACACTGTCATCTACAGAAATCTCACTCAGGGATCGTGCAATAAAGTTACAAAATAATCACCAAGAACCCCTCCATGTTTTAAAACATGTTTCCAAATCGGGGCATCAAAGCTCTCCTGGCCTACAGTCCTCTTGACTTTGAGTTGAACACATGTGGACCTAAAGAAAGCTGTCTTTTCCTTTTGGGGCACTCCTCACTAAATTTTTGAGTGAAGCTATTTTTCACATTTCTTCTCCATTGGTCCTTTCAAATTACTCATGCACATGGATTTCTAAAGAAAGAGACAGTGTATGGGAAGAAGCTTGAAAGATTTGAAAGGCCATCTCCACACCTATTTCTGACTCCAGTTGTGGAACCCAAGCCAGTGCTCTTGCCTAGTGTTGTCTCCTACAGCAGCAGGGACTCTGGCCAGTGAATCTCTGAGGTTCCTCTGGCTCCCATCACCTGAACTATGTATTTGATATTTTCTTAATGCTGTTTGTAATGTATTTGTTGGAACGTGCACACAAGGAGTACACCCTGTAGACATGCATGATCTGTGTAGGCAAAGGAGCCTCATATATTTTAAACAACAATGGAAATATCCTACCCAGTTAATCATAGTAAATCACATTGATTGAGCACTTTGAATTACCCAATACTATTCTAAGCATTTTCTCATTTTCACCTTGTAAAAACCCACTGATGGAGGATGTAGTTGTCTCCAAATTGTAGGAAGCTGAAACTCAGCTTATAAGAAATTGGCAAGATGTCCCACAGGGAGCCAGATAGTATGAGCCAACTTTAGCCATTGGCTCCAAACATTTTACTCTTCTCTAGAATGGTGGTTCTGTAATGGGAGCGTCTGTTTACCCCAGGTATTATGTCCCCTTGGGTCCCTCAGTTTATTAAAGACACATGCCTTTGGGAGAGAGTCCCAGAGCATTGCTGGGCAGCTGGGCAAACTACAATCTATTTGAGAAGTCATTTACTTTTAGTTTCAGATTAAGGGCACAGTTTCTTTAATTTCGACACAGAAATTTCTCAAAGACACACTTGACACATAGGCAACAGGCAAATTTAAGCATAAGTTAGTATATTTATAATTTAGCCAGAAGTTTTGTTTTCTAAGTAAATGAAATTGTACTTGCCCCTTCAGAGTCATCCATATGACTTATTAAATACTTACTGCCTTGCTTTCTCTACCCCATTGCTTGTGCTGCAGGGTAAAGGTACAAGCCACATCCTATGTCTCAGTGGTTTACTACAGATTACCAAATGTCACCATGAGCTTAACAGGTTAGCATTGAGCTCATTATTAATTTTATTTGCACCATGACCCCCTAACTATACCCAAATCCTGAATTTTAGCCTCCTGCTGTACCTGAGGAAAGAGTTCTAAAGTGGTGGCCATCTCTCCTTCCCATCAGCTCTTGAGTTGCTTTATTTGGACCTGTAACCCAGACCCACCAGTGCAGATACATCAAGGTTTTCATAATGTGGCTGTGTTGACTTTACCTAGCACTTTCTTTTTTAAAGAAATGTTACAAATGATTGGTGGGACAAAAACTGGTATGCACCATGATTTTGCCTATCAGAAAGATTTTCACAAAATGGTAAATTTTCCTCAGGAAGACCTTCCAGCAGTCAAAGAATGCAAAGATCCTAGAGCACAGAGCCCCCAGAGTGATGAGTGTCTCTGCAGCATAACTCACACTAGAGGCTTTTAGGCAAATCAGAGCACCTCTTAAAAACCATCAGTGAGCCGAGGTGAGGCAGGGTTGAATTAATGCCATACTCTTGGCTGCCATGGGAGTACATCTGGTTGTGTTCCTTCCAGTCCGGTTTTGTACTCCCTGCCCCTATAAGCACAGGGACTGGTTGTTATTCTTCATCTCCCTGTGTGGTTTCTTCTGCTCTGAGAGTTTCTATTGATCAGTCTGACCCACAGTATTTTAGAATGAGGATCCCTACTGTTTTCATTATACCTTGTCCTCCACGTAGGTAAAAAACAAAGTACTGACACATAAGATGAGGGAATACTGTGGAGTTGGCCTCAGTGCAATAACTTGAGCCAGTTGTGATTCTTAAGAACAGCTGTTACCATGAATATCATCCTTAAGACACAATTGATATTGTTCTTTCAAAGATGGATCAGCCACGCTTTTAAAAAATAGGCAACTAAGAGGTTTTTTTCTGCATGCAATTCAGCATGAATTGAGTTGAAAGTGTGGCATGCTTTTATTAACTAACTCCTGATCTTTATCACACACACACACACACACACACACCTCCCAGCTCTAGTGTGGTATGGCATCTCCATGGGCCCAGAAGCATCATGGGTGACACCAAAGTTATTACAATAGGAAAGATCATCAGAACAAAATAAGCCAGAGCAATTCCATCTCTTCTTCTCCCACTACCACTCAATATTAATAACAGTGGTTAATCACAGGGGACCCAACGCTCCATGCGTTCTGTATGTGCCACCTTATGCAGCAGCTTCTTAAGCTGTGGCCTTGTTGCCAGGGGCCCCACTATCAATCTGAGGGAGCTTCTTTTTATAATTATTTCTTTTATTTTTTTGAGGTTATAATGTAGTTACATAATTTCCCTCTTCCCTTTCCTCTTTGGAGGTTCTTTATTGGCCTTTCAGAAGACAAGAGGTATAGGTCTTCGTTCATCCAGCCTCCCCTCCCCTCTGCAAGGTCTCTACATTTTACAGAAGATCTGTTTAATGAGAATTTTGTGTGGTTATTATCTTTGAATACCTCCCTAAAGTCCTCAGACTTTGAAAGCTTTTATGCTGGGCTATGATTCTGTGTGAAAGTAAGAGTTGTCAAGTTGTTCAAATGCCTTCTGTATCCTCCTGGTTAGAGCTTTTCCCCCATTATTGCAAAGATGAGAATCAATGCCACACATCCAGCTACTGTTACTTTAAAGGTCTTCTATTTAGGGTGATGGAGACAGTGCTGACTAATGCACCCAGACTCTAGCATGACATGAACACTTTCAATCAGTCTCTTGGGCCTTTTGCTTTTCTTTGGGAAATTATTATACTCTTACCCCATCTTTAACTATTTATCTTGTATCAGCTATCCAAATATACCCAATAATGCTCTTTCTGAAAATATGCCAATTGCTCTAATCACAGCTAACCTAGGATATTACATTGTGATGTCTCTTTCTTAGTGATTGTAATGCTATCCCCCAAAGCATGTCCTTGGTACAGCTTCTATTTTAAAGTTTCCAGTAATGCTTGTCTCATGTTCTGAGAGCGTTTCACTGCTCTTGTCCATCTCCTAAAATGTCAGTTCAATTCTTGTGAGTTGATCCAATCTTCACACCCTGTCTGGTCATGTTCTCAGAAATTTTTATTTATTGACATGTTGTTTGCATGTGCTCCCAAAAGTCTGGGTTAATGTTTGAAGAGAGGTCATTTTGACTGTTGGGCCAAGTTGCCAACTCAGCAGGCAGACATCTGGCATATTGGTGCTCTGGTAGTCTACCTTCAGGTTCTTAATCAAGACTGTCTTTTGTAAGTAGCCACAGTGAGTCAGTTAGCATAGGCTTAGGGCCTTACCAGCTATGCCCCCTATGTGGCTTATGTCACCCCTTTAGAAAAGTGAAGCTTTTGGAATTCCAGCCTTGGTGAGAAAAGAGTGCCTTCTACCAATGACAGCTTCACAATGCTGATTTTAGTTTCCCCATACTGAAAGGAGCTAGACAAACTTCATTTTAATCCAGCAAAAGATCACTGGGGAGAAGGGAGTAAGTGGGATTAAGAGAAGGATGAGAGGGTATGAAAATGACCAAAATGTGGTGTGTACATGTATGGGATTGTCAAATAATAATAAAGAAGAAAAATGGAGGGAAGAAGAAGAAGGAGAGAGGGAGGGAGAGAGGAAAGAAGGAAGCCCTACTTCATGAAGTGTAACAAAATTTTGTCTTCCTATGGACTGTGAGTTTGTCAAAGCATGTGAAGAGCCTCAGAGATACAAGTGCCATTGACCCAGCAGAACACTTCTGAAGAGTATATAATGGTGTCTTTAAGGATATGTCCAAAAATTGACTGGTAGGATGTTTAGCTCAATATTGTTTAAAGGTATTTTAAAAAAACAACAAAAAACAATAGAGTCAAAAGCAGCAAAAGAGTAAAATCCCTCATGTGTCCATTATAAATAAAATTGTAGAAATAGGTCTGTAGTACCAAAATATACTGAAAATATCTAAAAAGCTAGTTTTCTTTGGAAAAACAACATCACCACATATTCCCTATAATATATCAATGTTTATGTAGTAATTTTGTGCCAAGAATAGCTAAGATTAGAGGTGTTGTTTTCCTTTTGTAAATACTTGTTCTCTGATGTTTATTTATTGCTTGGCAGTGATATTCATTACTAGAAAGAGAAACACATGTTGGTCCTAACAGGAAAATAGGAATTCAGAACATATACCCTTCAGGCTACCCTCTCATGACATCAAGGTGAAGCCCAGGCACTAAGGTTTCCCCAACAGCTGAAAATGACTGCCAAAAACTCAAGCTCTAATTTGTGTCTTCAGGGAAGGAGAGCCCCCCAGTCAGTGACACTCCAGATGAAGGGGATGAACCCATGCCTGTCCCCGAAGACCTCTCCACCACCTCTGGAGCACAGCAGAACTCCAAGAGTGAGCGAGGCATGGGTAAGTGGGTCACCGTGGTATCCTTCAGTCTGCAACATGCACGCAGTTAGGAAATGGCTGCTGTGTAGGGTAAGGTAGGTGTGATCAGCCCCTCTTGTCCTCTGAGGTCAGTCACTTACATATTTCAGGATTTCCTGAAATTGGGACTTGAGCAGTTTGTTTTATCTGATGTGTTTATTTTTAAGGTAGTGTTCTGCTTATTGCAAGTGGTCTTGGTGTTACTATGTCTGAATTCCTAGCATGGGTACCTTTTGAAACACATTTATATAAATTTAAAGATCTGTTTAAATCAAAGGATTCAGTCAGTGTTGGAGTATACAGATCTTGTTTATTTAGTCCCAGAAGCACCCTTGTGTGCTAGGGGTTTGTTTTACAAGGTAACCCAGGCATAAACAGATGTTCACAGCCTGCCTGTGGTTCCCATCACAAAGCAAGAGGCTCATTCTGGGAAACAGAAGACATTGTCCTTTGGCCATACTACACAGGGAGAGCCCTGACTAGAGTCAGGCTGCTGACTTGGTTCTCATGGAGAATGAGGTGGTCTTGTCCTGAAATTCCATAGAGGCTCTGGAGCCTCTGCAAAATCATCAGACTGCAGGCATGCTTTCAGGAACTGAAAACAAGGCTGGTTCCTGGAGAGCAGGGAAAACATGTATACTTCACTTGTCATAAATGAATAGGTCACCAGTGCCAGCAAAATTCTGTAGCACCTTGTCCCTTTGACCATGTGTGAGCAGGGATCAACCTTGGCTGGCACTACTGGCTGGTTCCATCACAGACTGTGCCCTTTGCATTCTGAGTAATGTTCACAGTCCCAGGTGCTCTTGGTGTGGGAATTCCTTTGGACTTGTCATTTCCAGGGTTTCCTCTCCCTATCTGTCACTATGTACAGTTTTCAATTCAATTTCCTTTCAGGGTGAAGTTTAGAAAAATAGTCATTTTGAACTTGAGAGATTACACAAACGTAAACCTTTCTGCCTGGCTTGGCAATAGCAGTTGACTTGGCCCTGAAGACAGGAGAGGCTATTTGAAGTGGGTCCCATAAAGAGAGCAAAGGTGTTTGTGTGCAACTAGAGGCCAAAGAGTCACTTGCCAGGAAAGGTGAGAGAAAAAGCCCAGAGAACAGATAGGATGTGGGAAAGGAGTCAGAGAATCCACCCTAGAAATGCCCCCAGCCACATTACATGTTGTCACCTTGTCCTGTGTGACTCTGGAAGGAACCACCTGTTCCACATGTAAGCTATAGGCTGTGAGTTTCATAGCTTGTAGAATATAACATTAAATAGAATACTGTGAAGATAGCATGTAGGGAATTTCACAGATTAAAGTAAATAAAGTTGAAGCCATACCTCACCACACTGTCTCATGGGGTAGCTCATGAGAACCAAGGAGTGAAAAAGGACAGGGAACCAGGAGCCAGAAGAGGCAGCAAGCAAAGGGCAGCAAGATGAAGCAAGGGTCACTGTGGAGACAGGGAGTCAGTAAGAGGGAAGACATGTCTCAGAAAGGATACATCCAAGATTCCTGGTCCTTGGTTGTGACCCTCAGGGTCAGAGCTTCTCATCTTTCCCAAGACTCATGTGAGCAAGAGCAGCTACCACATGCCCCAAAATGGCTTTGTGGACCAGATGGCAAAGGCAGAAGACAGAATGGCAGACAAAAAGTAAGAGGTAGGGGCAAGTGCTTGTTGTGCATCCCAAGATTTACAGTCCTGGAGAAAGGGGCCCAGTGTAGCTTCAATAATGAGAGAGGGGCAGGCAACAAGGCATCAGGAAGAGACAACAAATTTATTAATTAAAAAATCCGTAATTCAGACAGTGATGGTGCATGTCTTTAATCCTAGCTCTTGGGAGGCAGAAGCAGTTGAATCCCTGAGTTTGAGGCCAGCCTGGTCAACAAAGTGAGTTCCAGGACAGCCAGAACTACACAGAGAAACCCTTTCTGGGAAGGAGGGAGTGAATCCGTAAAATAAGCAAATTGAAAACAGCCAGAAAAGAGAGAAATATGTTAGAGTAGGATGGTACCAAGGGGGAGAATGACTTCAAATCCATGTGTGAGCCATCAGAGTGAACAGTCTAGGGAGGCATGGTCAGAGCTGACCAGCAGTGAGGGTGGAGGAGGTTGGGTCACTCAATAGGAGAGAGACAGGCCTGCTGTTGACAGCTGTGCATCATTCCAGAAGAGTCTTAGCACCAGACAACAGACCAAGTAAGAAAATCAGCAGTAGGAGATGCTAGAAGCCAACCTCCGTCTGGTTAGTGGGTCATTCCCAGGACTTGAAAGTTAGGGTTTCACACACTGCTGCTTTTTTTTAATAATGCTGAAAGGGCACCCAAGATCTATGTCTAAATATTGGAACAATGACAGAGGTGCAAAGCAAGACACACTCCAGTATTGGGCCTCCATTTTCTCCAAAGGCTGAGTAAGAAGAAACAAAAGATTTGAAGTGCAGCTTGAAGAATTTAAGTCAGACCCAAAGGAGAACTTTCTGGCAAGCAGGGATTTAGTCATCAGAATGATCTACTTAATGACTCTGTGGCTTGTTCTTTCTGAAGTGGTCTCTTTAAAATTGACAGAACTCTCGGCTCTCTGAAGTGGTTGTGTCTGAAACCAGTTGAAGCTAAGGAAGCACTCATTGACCTCTTCAGGCAACCAGTTTACCAAGGCTCAGTTGTTTGTGGAGGGAGGGCAGGGCTGATTGCATTGACACAGAACTCTGGGGCCCCATGAAGGCCTTCCTGTGGGACAGTGTCCAAGCTGATGTCTAGAGAGAGATGGGCAACTTGTAAAAGAAAACTAACAACTCCATATTCCCCTCCTTTGCTCAGTTGTAATACTTCTCCCTTTTTTTCTGGGGAGTTTTCTCCAAGTTTGGGTGTGCTCTTTCCCCTTGTGACCTAGAAGGGACCAAAGCTGTGTCACCTTTCCTGCCTGGTAAGCTGAGGACTGTAGCCAAACACTGAGAATCCGGAGTGACACTCAGTGTTGAATGCAACCACAGGGCAGCCTGAGCAGAGGGAGAAGGAACCCAGGAATGCAGGGAAGGGGATTCCAGGCTAAAAGCACAGACATACAACACTAGAAGGCCAGGCCAGTGTGGGCTTAGCATAGAGTCCAGGGAAAATGCCCACAGAAGCGTAGACCAGCCCAAGGCTGAACTGGAAATGTCATGTTTCCAAATCAACCTGAGTGGGGGCATCAGGGGATGTTTGGCCCCTGGCACTGGGACAATCTTGTGCAGAACTCAGACAGGAGGAAATGGGAGAAACTCAGAGGGTGCATGTTATGCTGTGTGTCTTCCTTTGGGTGCATCTCAGCCTGATATTCCTCTGCCGGCGCTGAGAGAGGCTGACCCTGCACAGCTTCTCACTAAGTGCTTATGCCGGAGTCTGGTTCTTCCTTGGCTTAGATGGAAAAGGGGGCGGGGGAGGACAAATGAAATCTGCATTCTCCATCCCTCTAGGAATCCTGAGAAAAGTAATGAAGTATATAAAAATCTTGATCTTGGTTTTTATTTTGTTTGGCTCCTTTTGTTTGTTGGTTTTTGTGTTTGTTGTTTTTTCTTCTCGATTCATTGCATTGACTCAGCCACGAGGGCAAGACTGAAGCAGAAACTATGAGGAATCATTTCAAATTTTCATTGCTTATAGGTAGTATAGATGGTAGTGCATTACATGAGGGCATTTAAAATATAATGTTACATATTTGTAACTGATAGTCCTGATACCAGGGTTCTCTCCTGTGCAGGGGTGGCATTTAACTTGGGCTTTATTTCACATACAAACTCTGGGTTTCACTGTGGGATTTTCAAACATACTACAGCACCAGGCTTATTCACCCTGTCTCTACTGTCCTTACCTTTCTCCTGTCTCCGTGGTCAGCTTTAGGCAGGGCAGAGTGGTCCTATGAGGCTTCTCTTAGGCCTAGGATGGGGAAGTGGGGCTGGAGGGAGTTTTTCAGGACTAGAAGAGAGAGAGCAGGCCTGGCTGGAGAGTGGGCAGCTGGCTTCAAGTACGGATGTAAGCCCCGTTATCTAATCAGCAGCTAGAGGAAGTTGTTTTTATCAGTGAAATGCATCTCTTCTGCAGCGATAGCCCCACTTCAGCTTGGAAGAAACACTATCTAGCAGTATCTGAGCAGCTGCAGCAAGTGCAGGGACTGAGGGTGCAAGCCGTCTCCAGCCTGGTTCTCCTCTCTGGGGATAACTGGAGATGTAGGTTGCCTTTGGTGCACTTGGCTTTCTCTTTCTCCCTTCCTTGCCCCTCTTCAGAGATGAATGATCTATACTGTGGTTTCCATGGGGGCAGATCTGTTAAATTCTGTTCATAATGTCACTT